AATGTAAATAATTCAAAGGTTTTTTTAAAGTTCAAGAACAACGGAATAAAGGTTGAGAAAATAATTGAGAAAATATTGTGGTAAAGAGACGACAAACACCTTTATGATCCCCACCTTGCAACTTGGATTACATTTACGTTTACTTATTCATTTAATCAAACGATTCATCATCTTTTATATGATTAGTTAAACCCTAATTCCTTAGTGACTTTAACCTTATTAACTCTATTAGAATCTTAATCCCTTAGAAATCCCCTTTCAAGTTAAACATTAGAATCAATGAATCTTTAACATTTGCGGTTCATATAGCCTATCCGTAGTGCATACATGAACAATTATCTTACCTTTTGTCAGGAATTAGAATTCCAATATCCCTATTGAAAACCCTAACCCTCGCAATCCTAATAGATTGATCGGTTCTAAAAGAATTATGGAATGAAGAACAAGGCAAGCTAAATTCAATTTAAATAGATAAGCATAAATTCAACCACACTACAAGGGGTTCACATCAAGGATTGTGACCCTTACCACAATAATTAAAAGACTAGCCAAACATATTTATATCTGACAAATCAAATGATAGAAAAGAGTTCATGAAAATATAACTAGAAGAAGGAGAAGAAGAATTCTTGAATCTTCAATCGCCAAGAGTTTGCTCTCCGATCTCCACTTTTCGTAATTCTCTCTGTGCAAAAAGTGTCTCATCCCTCTGTTTGTGATCCTTTTATTAGTTTTGGGAAAAACCTAATTTCAATTGCGCTCCAATTGAACCTCCTTTTTGAGTAATTCGCATCAGATTAAATTAAAAAGTATCGCCCACGCAATTTGCGCCAGCATCTGCGCAAATTGCGCGGAGAAATAGGGAGTAAACTGCCAAATGGCACGATTTGCTCCAGACTCCGCGAAAATTGAGCCACCTTCATGCAAATTGCGCCACTCATCGCGCAAATTACGCCAGGAAACAGAAGTGATTTGGACCAAATTGCGCGATTTGCGCCATTCTCCGCGCATTTTGCGCCAGACTCAACAACTTCAACTTCTCTCCTTCACTTCATTTTCGGTGTTTCCTACTATTTAAATGCATAAATTGAGTGAGAGAATGATTGAGAAGGAATAATCAATATTTCTTGCATTTATGACTTATTTTCACACATTTATGATTAATTTCTTGCTTCTTTTAACTTATAAAGCACCATATGCTGGACGCGTATCATTGTGTATTCGAGATCAAATTCACATGAAACTCAGGAACGTATAATGTGTCAACAAGTTGTAAAGATTCAGACAAATTTACAGTGCCTGAATAATGAGCAATGACTTCATGGTTAATTGGAAGCATGATAGTAACTAGTTCAATTTTCTTAAGTGAAGAAAATAATGAACCTATTGAGCATATATTGTCTGTAGCTTCTATGTCTAATATTCATCGATTAGAATTCTTACCAGAGGAGTTGATATTGAAGGCTGCACCTATATCATGCTTTGCTTGAGCAAAATGTGCAGAGTGATTATTGACTTCAGCTGAATTATCAACTTTAGATTGACTCATCAAATAGAAAAAGTTCTGATATTCCTCTTGAGTAATGGAGACTTTAGTATCTCTAATCTCACCATTGTCTTCAGATGCATCAAGAGTAACTGCAATTGCAGAAGCAATTCTTGCTCTATTCTTGAAACCTGGTGGATAACCATGTTTTGCATAACAAGTTTTCACCGTATGGTTTGTGCGTCCACAGTGAGTGCAAAGTTTAGTTCCTCTCCCTCGTCCATTCTGTCCTCTACCATAATATCCTCCACGACCTCTTCCGAAATTCTGTTGTTCTGCTGCATATGCCTTTGACATTAAGGAAGATTCGTTGGGGACTTCAAAGTTCATCTGTCATTCTTGATGTGTGACAAATTAAAAGAACTTATTCATGTTTGGTACAGGTTCAATCATCATAATTTGGGATCGAACATGAGAAAACTGATCATTAAGACCTTTCAGAAAAAATGAGCACCTGATCTTGTTCTCTACATTTCTTGAGTTTATCAGATGCTCAACAAACACAATTTGGCAACGGCTGCAAGGTTTCTAGTTCGTCCCATGATATTTTCAATTGAGTAAAGAAATCACTTACAGAAGAATCTCCTTAATGAAGATGATGGATCTCTTCATGTAAGTCTGCAATTCTAAAAATGTCCGATTGGGCAAATCTTTCTTGAAGATCTTTCCAAACTTCATGTGCCTTTTCTATCCAGAGAATAAATCTACCAATAGAGGGCTCAATGGAATGTTGTATCCATTAGAGAAGCAATATATTGCAACGGTCCCAAACTTGGAATGTAGAGTAATTATCTTCTGGAACTATGAACGTTCCATCAACCAGACTGAGTTTTTTTCCGAACGTAACGCCATTTTCATAGCACGAAGCCATGTGTGATAATTCTTTCTGTTAAGAAGAGGAGTCACGAGAACGAGAGAAGGACTTTCACTTGCATGAAGATACAGAGGATTTGAAGGATTCACCAGATAATCAGGAAGGGAAGCTTGCTGGTTTGCCATTGAAGATCTTACAGAGAAAGAAAAAAACAAAGGAAATGAACGATGAAGTGATAAAGTGCAATACCAAAGCTCCCTTCAGAGCTCTGATACCATATCAAAATCCAGTGAATCTTAAAGAGATAGAAGAGAGAAAATGATCTCCATTAAACTGAATAAAATTGCAATGAATGATGCTTACAAAAGAAACTACTCTTACATACATTTACTATCCGCAAATATAGGAACTAACGCTAACAGAAAATTGACTTCCTAACTAATAAGTAAATAACAAGTTGCTTAAATACATGTATCAGATACTTAAGCAAATTGTAATAGTAATAAATGATGTTTTATTGGGAAAATTTGCTTGGAAAATCCTTACTTAAGATTTTGGACCCATGTTTATAGGGGTGTGGGTGCTCTGAAAAACAATGTGTCCGGACATGGAAAACGGTCATGATATAGCTTTCTGGACCCATAATTTGCTTACTACTATGGGGGCTCTTCGTAACATGGCCTTGGTGCAGCTTAACGAGTTGACCTGTTGAGAAAGGCAAAAGAGTTGTCAACTCCACAAGGTTAATCTCTCTCGTCTGTTAGTAGATCTTGGAACGTTTGCAATGTTTAGTGTTTCTCCCCATTCATATTCACCAAAAAAAAATCTATTATTATATTGGATGGGTAGTTATAAAAAGTTTTACACTAATGTTATATCAAATTTGAAGTTTATAAAAATCCTAATTCAAAATACTTTATGATTTATATTTTTTATTACATAAAATATGCTAATTATCACATAATTTTTTTTTTGAAAATATTCCAATCGGTTCATTGCTTCACAACAAATCCGATTCGGGGCAAGTTCAGGATTAAGGCTTTAAATCCCTCCCAAAGGTGGTATCGAAGAGATTCGAACACATGCTCTCACCCCTACCTACTTAGCTCCCATGCACTAACTTATCTGTGAAGCACGGATACGCAATTTTGGGGAGAAAATGCGTGTCCGACACGGACACGCGTCCGACACGCAGTAGACTTTTTGGGACACGTTGACTTTTGGGACATGCGAATTTGACCGTGTCGGACACGTAGTCAACACATTTGGACACGTTTTTACATTTTTTTGGCAAAAAATAAATAAAATTACAATTAAAAAAATAAAAAATATTTAATAAAATTTAAGAAGTGTGAAACTGGAACCCTATCCTTCGTTCCTTTCTCGTTTGTTGACAGCTTGACGCTGGAAGTGGAGGCTGCTGCTGGTCGTTCTCATCTCCGGTGGCGGTAAGTCTCTTTCGATTCTCAAATCTCCGGTCATCTTCTTCGTCGTCTACATCTCTCCTAGAAGTTGTGTTTACTTTAGTTATATTTATTTTCAAGAACTGTTTGCCCAAACAAAGTATAAAGAAGCAGCTGAGCTTGCTGCTGAATCTCCGCAAGGAATCCTTCGTACACCTGACACAGTTGCCAAATTTCAGGTTTCTTGATAAGATATATAGCTACCCATGAATTTTCTAATGCTTGTATGTGCTTGAACTCGGAACAAAAATGGGTTTTATGAGCTTGGTTTTCCTTTTCAGGACAAAGATGAAAGAAGCATTTGAATGGTAATGGCAATGTGCATTAAAGAGGACTTCTTCTTCTTCTTTTTTCTCTTTTTATCAATGCGTTGAATATATGTGTTGCCCTACTTAGTTACTGTGCCACAACCAAATGTTCTGCATATTCATACCGAAAATATGTATAGATTTAAAGGCTGTAAAAATGCATTTTGTGTGTGGCTGAATGTTCCTATGTCCACCAAATATGTTATTAGTCTTGTGCAAGGATGCTATCAAATATGTTGTTTTGGATCCTCATTGGTTTTTCGTGGCTGAGTAGTTAGTTTCGTATTTCCTTCAATTTTTGCATTTAAATTTTCTTAAATTCATCAACAACAGCAACTGCAACATAAGCCTCCCCCTTCTCAAATTCATCAAATTTGGGGGACAAATTCACTTTCTGTGGTTGGTAACCCAAGTAATATGCACGTGAGGCATACTTCACATTGGATAAACTGGAATGTAAGGACTACAATATTGGATATCCTGATAAATTAGGTCTTATTTGGCATTACTTGTTTTCTTGTTGTCGTTTATTTTTCAAGCATTATTAAAACTTGTGTCTTGATATGCCTTCATATGGTCATTCCATTTTTATTTTTTTTTATTTATGTATTTTATTTAGAAGATAATAAGAAAAAAATGTAGGAGCAACGAAATTACAATTAACTGGTCATTTACCACAGCTTCCTAGTTTTCTAGTTAAGGTTGGGTTGCATTAATTTTTTTGAAGAATTTAGAATTGTTCTGTTACAGATTTGTATGTTCAGTCCTTGGTTGCATTTTTTTTAGTCCCCCAACTGAACATCTATTATTGTAAACGGACCTGCAATGTATCTGATGTTTTTTGTTTGACACATTTATAGAATAACAAGATGGATCATTCAAGTTCTGCCTCGGCCAGTGCCAGTAATAGTGCCACTGCTGCTACTAGTGCTTCTGATGCCAATGAATTATTAGATAAACCCTTATGGAAATATGTTACCAGAATAGATGCTATAGTGGAAGGAGGAGGAAATTTATCTTGGATGTGCAACTTTTGTAAAAAAGATTATAAAAGTTCATATACTAGAGTGAGGGCTCATTTGTTGAAACTATCAGGTAAAGGAATTGGGAAATGCTTAATGGTGCAAAATAGAGATCTGATAGAGATGGAGAAATTAGAACAAGAAGCTGACCAGAGAAAGCAATCTAATGCACCCAGAAAAGTACCTTTACCTCCTTCTAGCTCTTCCACGTGCCCAAAAAAAAGAAAAACTACAGATTCTCTTGAGATGGCATTTAATGTTGGGGAGCGAGAAGAATTAAATTACCTGATTGCTAGAATGTTTTATTCAGCAGGATTGCCATTCAATTTGGCAAAGAACCCTTACTTCCAAGCTTCGTATACTTATGCAGCAAATCATAATATTGGAGGTTATTTGCCACCGGGATATAACTCACTGCGAACCACTCTGTTGCAAAAGGAGAAAGAAAATATTGATAAGTTGTGTGAACCTATTCGAGAGTCTTGGACTCATAAAGGGGTGACTATTGTAAGTGATGGGTGGAGTGATTCACAAAGGAGGCCACTCATTAATTTCATGGCAGTATATGATGGTAGAGCAATGTTTTTAAAATCAATTGATTTCTCGGGGGAGATTAAGGATAAAAATTTCATTTTCATGTGTTTATTTTCTCGAGGGAGACTAATGATAAAAATTTCATTTTCAGGTTGCTAAAGGAAGTTATTCAAGAAGTAGGAGAGGCAAATGTGGTTCAAGTAATCACAGATAATGCTGCAAATTGTAAGGGAGCAGGGCAACTTATTGAGCAGGAATTCTCAACTATTACTTGGACACCGTGTGTTGTTCACACATTGAGTTTGGCTGTGAAAAATATTTGTGCTGCAAAGAATGTGGAGAGCAATCAAATAACGTATGAGGAATGCAGCTGGATTTCTGATATTGTAGGTGATGTTGCTGCAATAAAGCATTTCATTATGAATCATTCTATGAGATTGGCCATCTTTAATGAGTTTGTGAGTTTGAAGTTGCTTTCTATTGCTGATACTCGTTTTGCTTCAATGATTGTGATGCTGAAGAGATTCAAGTTAATAAAGAGTGGTCTTCAAAATATGGTGATAAGTGAAAAATGGAGTATTTATAGAGATGATAATCTTGGCAGGGCCAGACATGTGAAGGAAATCTTGGTGGCTACTTTATGGTACCTTTACACCGATGCTTCAAAAAATAGCATTGAGACTTGTGCAACAACCCTCCTCTTCATCATGTGTTGAACGCAATTGGAGTACTTATTCTTTTGTGCATTCCATCAAGAGGAATAAAATCACTCCAAAACGTGCTGAAGACTTGGTTTATGTGCATAGCAATCTTCGACTCTTATCAAGAAAGACTCCTAGTTATGCACAAGGAACAAATCAAATGTGGGATATTGCTGGAGATACATTCGATTCACTTGATGATATTAGAGATCTTCAATTTGCTAGCCTTTCACTTGATGAGCCAGAGATAAAGGCCATGATTATTCAAGATGGAGATGAAAATAATTGAACTGTGTGTAATCATAAGTAAAATAATTTTTCTATTTTTCTACACTCTACACTCTTGGGATGTTCTATTATTTTTTTAAATTTTTATGTTATGAAATTTAAATATTTGATTGGTTATATGACTTATTATGGATTCTTATATGTATTAAATATAAATTATATTATATATTAAAATTTTTATTTAATATCAAAACGTGTCCCAATGTGTCCAAATATGACATTTTTTAGAATTAACGTGTCGGCATGTCGTGTCATGTCGTGTCCCGTGTTTCGTGTCCTTGTCCGTGCATCATTGGGTATTATCACATATAATTTATAAAATGTAAAGAGTGACAATTTACTAAAGAGAAATTTTAAAGGAAATGTGACATTTTGAGGTGCCAGAATGTTCATTATATGATTGATATGTAATTGAGATTCTAAATTCTTAAAAAAATTGTAATTAACATACACAATGATAGTGTTTGGTTCAGGACTTCTGCTCACTATCCCAGCAAAGTGCATGTGGGTATCTCATTTCTCCACGTTTGGTTGAGGGATAACCTGAAATTTCTCCATCAAACCTGCTTCCCCAGCTATCGACATATGCGTGTAAAAAACGGAGGTTTTCACTGTTGAAGAAGCCCTCTCAGATGATGGTATTATTGTGAATACCGGACAAATTGAAAAAGGGATGAAAAATGTGACAAATCTACCCCTCCACGTAATGTGTCTCGTCTTTCTCAAGGCCTCTTCTGCTTGGATGGCCCGTTCTTTTATTCAGTTTTTGCATATTGCATAGCATGAAGATCATCTTCGAATTTCTCTGTCTGAATTTTCAGTTCTTTCTCTAAAGAATTGACTTGATTTTCCAGTTCTGTGATGCAGACCAAAGATGCTGAAAATTCATCTTCCTGCATTTTTAGCTTTTCTTCTAATCTCTCCACTTGTGATTCAAGTTGTTGTACTGCAACTAAAGAAGCTGAATGTTCATTTTGTAACATGATGTGATGTGCTTCATCTTGCTTTAATCTCAAAGAGATATCCACGTTTTCCTTCTTAAGAAGATCATACTCCAAAGTGAGCTCTTTTATATGCTCGCATAGCTCTTCACGTTGCCTGTAGTAATTGTCTATTTCAACATTCTGGTCCGCAATTTTTTGCTGCAAGAGATCTAATTCTTTGGCATTACCATGCTTTCTAGTAAGCGTCAGCAGTTTTAATTGAATGGGAGTACGATGTGGAGACAGGACAAAGAAAGTCTGAAAACAAGTTAATGGAATCTTCTTTGCAAATGTCAAAGAAACATGATCGAAAATGTATGTTAACATTTCAAAATTTTATAAAAAAGGTTACTTTCGTAATTTTCACTTTTTTCCCCATCAATTTTTTATTTTCAACCAAACATATATCAGGATTTTTAACCCAATTTTCTCATTAATATTTTGAGGTACCAAACAACTTTTTTTTAACTTTCCTATCAAACTTACTTTCCTTCGTTTTTCTTATCAATTACATTTCCCTAATAAAGAAAAATTCTCCTGAACCAAACACTACCAATAAGATATCTAAGCCACAAAGTTCCCATGTATATGGGATTGTGATTGCTGATGTCAGCTTTATGTATACTACAAGGAATGGAAGGTGAAAATTTCCCATACCAAGAGCGAAGTTAACTCTTGTGGTAATTTGAGTTTAATTAAAGTTGGTTCTCAATTATAAATTAATAATGTTAACTGTACATAAACTTTGAGAAAAGTATTTCTTCAGCCATTGAAGATAATTTTATCTTCAGTGAGTCCAAAATGATATCATTTTAAATTGTAAGATTAAAAAATTATACTGATAAAGACTATTATAGCCCTGCAATAAATTAAAATTATAAAAATATTTTGATTTCTGTCTCAAAATGACGTCGTTTTTGGCTCACCGGAGATAATTTATCTACATTAACTAGAGAAATCCTTTACCCATAAACTTTTTTAATAAATAAAAAATTTAAAAATTAAAAACAGGTGGATTAAACCGCACATCATGAAATTAGGTTTACAATTGCAGAAAATGGCATCCTATAATCCTATTCTAATTGCACGGGCTAAGTTCAGTGCCTACGTTGATGTTAGTCTAAAAATTTGGGATATGTCCGCTAAGTATTTCTAATGGCATAGCATCCTATCATTCAAGTATTTTAAGATAACTAATAAGTATTCCATGCATTGTAAACATATTCTAAGGTGCTTATTTTTAAAGATTTTAAACAATTCAATATACCTTTGTCATATGACTATCGGACAAATATATCGAACCTAAAAAGATGAATGTGATTTTAAATTTATTTTATTTATATTATTCGTGTAATATTTATGGCTACCAGTCTACTATCGCTACTTTACCGACACAACTTATAATCATTTAATTCAATTAATGTACTATTGATATTATCTATTTTCCCCGGAAAAAAATTCTTTTATCTAAAGCAACAATTCACATCAAAGAAGATGTAATGCAATATTGTATAAATTTGACATGAAAAAAGTCATATTCATTACGAAACTTTAAAATACAAAAGAATAAGTCATGGTTAAGTGTTAACAATCAATTATTTTACAAGTGTTATGCAATCAATTCTCTGAAGCTCAAGCATAGAAGAAAGTGGCGGCAAGTCGTTTTTTAAATTATTTAACTCTAAAAATTTTAATATCACGTCATATAATTATTTTTTTCAAAAAGTTTAAACTATTACTTGAAAATAAGTAAATAATTTCATATTACTTTTCTTATCAATAAGTGTTTTTTTTTTCATCTTAAAATCAATCAGTTTCAAGTATCATGGACCGGGGGTATTCTTGTATAATTAAAATAAACATTTTTTTTATAACAAAAAAATTTTCTTTTTAGGCGACAAAAACTATTTTTCTCGAAATTTGAGGTTATCTTTTTTAATATTCCCTTAAATAAGACGGAAAATATTTCTTTCATCAGTGCAGGAACATATCATATAATATTTGAAGTAATTGACAAAATCAAAACATACATGTTTAAAATATGAGATAAGTTATTCTACTATCTATTATTTTTTCTGCTTACCTTTGACGTCTATCACTCTTCAATGTTGTTATATCAGAATCTTAATAGGAGAGATAAATGATATATGTAGTTAGATTCTAATCTAACGGTGTTGGAGAGTGGTAGGAAAAGATTAAAAAAAATGATAGATAGAATAACATGTCTCATAAAATATATTAGATGAAATCTCCAAATGTAGCTCAGTTGGCAACTGAGCTCCCAAAGATTTGTTTGAGTTAGGGATTCAAACCTTGCCTCAAGCTTACGCCAAATATTATCTAATTAGGTATCTTGTCTCATAAAATATATTAGATGAAACCCCAAGGGTAGCTCAACTGGCAACTGAGTTTCCAAAGATTTGTTTGAGTCAGGGGTTCAAACCTTGTCTCAAGTAAATTCAATGCACTCGCTGTTTTAATGAAGGACTAGCTTACAAGACCGTATCCCGAGAGCAAGTGATTGGAGGATGTTGAATGAGGATACCTCAAGGTTATATATATATATATATGGGTTTTATAATTCTCATTCAACATGAGAATTCAAATTTTCCTACACACCATTCGATTTCCGTGCTGACATGAGTCCTACATATAATTTTTTCTAACACATGGGTCCCACATGCTTTTTATCTCTACAACATGATAATTGAATTCTCATTCAACATGAGAAAATCAAACCCCTATATATATATATATATATATTAGATGAGAAATATTTTATAAATATACAACGATGTAAACATGAATAAATGTCTTTAATAAGAATAAAAGAAAAAGTGATATTAACAGGGGGTTAAAGTCTTAAAGAGATGAGATGATATGGTCGTACCGCTTGTTGACACTTGACAAGGAAACGGTGGACAGCATCAATTATTAATTATCCCTTCCTACCCTCAACTCTACTTAACGGTAATAACTCCAATAGGAACCCTACCCTCTCTATCCCTCTCCTTAATTTTGTTTCCTTATTTTATAGAAATAAATCTAGGGTTTAATGTCCCTAATCTCTATTATAAAAAGAGAAAATTATATTTATAAACTTTTTTATTTACAAATTACATTATATTTGATTGGTAATACACTTTTGAATGAAATATTACCGGTCAGACATAGTAATTTACAAAAATTTATAAAAAAAAATTGTAAACAGATTATTCCCCGTATAAAAATATACCATACAGATTCATGTTTTTTTCTTCTTCTCACATAACCTTGTACGGGTGGCATATATTTTTATAGAATGTGTAGGAGATAAAAAATATACGAGGCTCATATTTTTTCTTTTTTATTTTATCTTCATATGACCCCATATGAACTTCATATATTTTTATATAATGCTAGGAGATAAAAAAAATGTGAGGCCATATATTTTTCTTTTCTTTTCTCCCTATATGACCCCATATACTTTTATGGGTAAAGTGTGTATCATTTTAAAGGATATAAAGTTGTGTCATTTCAAGTGAGAGAAGTGATAGATAAAGGAGGAGAAAGAGTGGACAAAAAAATATAAAGATATGAGTCTCACATCTTTGTGAGAGCACAATAATATAAGTTGTGTCGTTTAAAATATCAAATATTTTTCGCTACTTTTATATAGTGTGTATACGAGGTTCATATTTTTATTTTTATTTTCTCTTCAAATAATTCCATATATACTCTATATACTTTTATATAATATGGATAAGTTATATTTACAAAAAATTTTGTATACAAACCCTTACAAACTATACTATGTTCTCCCGGGAGAACACTTGTTACATATGTTCTCCCGAAAGAACATAATGTAATTTATAAAAAATTTGTAAACAGATCCTTCTCTATATAATATATAAAAGATAAAATTATTCCTGCATCGAACCATAAATCTAAAAGAGCCTCGGCCCTACCCCAGTCCCACCAATTTCAATAACTTTTTGATAACAATAATGTAATCTCAACCCTTTCTCTCTTCCCAAAGATAAATTCTTTTCACCTTTTTCCCCATAGAGTTCCTTTCTTTTGATAAACCCTCTTCCTCTCTCTTCATTGTGCCCCTTAATTATGTTCCTTTAAACCCAATCAAAGCTAAAAAGTGAGAAAACCCCTTAGATTTACCGCAATCAGAAAAAAAAGAAAAAGAAAAACCAGGACAATAAATACCGACTCGTTCTGGTGCTTATCATTTTGTCCAGAACAACACACTTCACATAAATTAAAATAAAAATTGTAATTTCTGTTAACAAATAATATTAGATGGACGGCATCATTTCACAGTTCAGATACAACCTTCAATCATATATCATAATATTCCATGTTTTCTAAATTGTATTATTAGCACACTGTGTTTATAAGCCAACCCCTTCTTCCAAAACCATAAAAATAAAAACACACTGCTAGCTGCTAGTGCTAGTGCTAGCATATCAAGTTCTGTGCTTTTCTACTTCCCAATTCTTTGGTAGCAGCAGCAATGGCCAAAGAGAGAGAGAAGAAGTTCTACGTTGCTTTAATGGGTAACTACGCTGCAGAACTTAAGCTTCTTCTCACAACTCTCTTATTCCTCTGTGGTGTAGCTACCATTCTTCAGTTCATCCCTTCTCGTTTCACTATCTCTGCTTCTGATCTCCGTCTTTGCATTTCAAGGGTCACTCAAACCGCCGCCACCCCACCACCACCATCCCCCACCACCACCACCACCACCGCCACCGCCACCAACTCATCATTATCATCCTCTGTTTCCCAGCTTTCACCACCGCCACCGTCGCCGCCGCCGCCTCCGCCTCCACCCTCCGCCGAGAAGGACCGAGTTCTGGAAAATGGAATCATCAAGCGTGCTTTCAACCCTTATGGTTCCGCTGCCTATAACTTCGTCACCATGAGTGCTTACAGAGGAGGCATGAACACCTTCGCCATTAATGGCCTCGCTTCCAAGCCCCTTCATGTCTACGGCAAACCAACCTACGAGTGCGAATGGGTCACCTCCGGCAAACCCATCACCACCGTCGGCTACAAGATCCTCCCTGATTGGGGCTACGGCCATGTCTACACGGTGGTGGTTGTGAACTGCACTTTCTCGGAGCCTCTCAACGTTGATAACTCCGGCGGGAAGCTAGTCCTCTACGCCTCCACCTCCGGCGGCGGCGACACCAGATTCAATGTCACTGACAGAATGGAGGTTCTGACGGAGGCGCCGGGAACTCTTGACGCTTCGTTGTTCACTTCGAAGCCAAAGTATGAGTATTTGTATTGTGGGTCATCGCTTTATGGGAACTTGAACCCTCAAAGGGTGAGGGAGTGGATCGCTTACCACGTTAAGTTTTTTGGGCCAAGATCGCATTTTGTTATACATGATGCTGGTGGGGTGCACGAGGGTGTGATGGAGGTTTTGAGGCCATGGATGGAACTTGGATATGTGACTTTGCATGATATTAGGGACCAAGAGAGGTTTGATGGGTATTATCACAACCAGTTCATGGTGGTTAATGATTGTTTGCATAGGTACAAGTTCATGGCCAAATGGATGTTCTTTTTTGATGTGGATGAGTATATCTATGTTCCCCCTAAGAGCACTATCAAGACCGTGCTTGATTCCCTCTCTGAATACTCTCAATTCACCATTGAACAGATGCCAATGAGTAGCAAGCTCTGCCTCTCCTATGATTATGGAAAACTCTATAGGTACATTTTCATTTCTAATTGCTTTTCGTTCATGCATTGGATTGATTTGGGTGTTTACATGCTGCTGCGTGTATAATTGAAGCAGCAATATGAACTGAGTTTGATTAAATAATTATTAAAGACTTGTGGTGGATTAATTCGGGATTTAGTTAAGCTAAAATGAATCTTTAGCTGTTGTGGGAAAAAGTGGTATGAGCATTTATTTGCTCTGATAGTTCATTTGAAGCATGAAATGTGATGTCATTGATTTTCCTTATTTTGTTTTGAGACTTGATTGATAACATCGTGGATCTTGAGTGGTTGGATGCTGTTATTTTTCTTTGTGTGTGAGGTAGAGCGATTGATGTGGTTTGTGTGCGTTTGGTATATAGCCCATTCCTCTGAACAGGTCGAGGTGGGGTCTCTTTGAACTTTGTTCCAAGGTGATTCATTTCTTATTTATTAGCTGTACCACTTTAACTATTGAATATAGCAAATTGATCCTGTTTGTTTGTTGAAAAGTCTTTTAATGTATTACCGAAAATACAGAAGAATTCTTTAATTCAATCACTTATGTCTTCTTGTTGAGTAAGTTACTTAGTGCAGCCTCCAAGTGGAAATTGTCAATATCATGTTAATTGTGTTAAAATTGAAAAATCAGAGAGCGTGCCGAATAGTGATGATGATTTTGCTGAACTTTCAATTACCTTGATCTTGATCTGCCCGGTCCCCAAGGGAACTTTGAATATGATGGATATGTTGGTGTGCGCACTCAAACCCTTTAATATCCATGATTACTATTTACCATTTTCACATTCCCGCAACAACTGTTAGATCTAGCTGTCGTCCAATCCAAGTCTTAATTTGTAGCTATACTTTTGTGTTGTAGGTTGTAGCTATGTTTTTGTTGGAAATGGATCCTCTCTCATGTGTAATTTAACATGATGATGTCATCTGGAAGGATCTTAACCATTAATAATTAAATCAACGGTGATGATTGTGTAACTTTTTATCTTTATATTTTTCCTCCCTTCTTCCTTATCACCATTAACTCATCCATGTATAGTTATGATTGCCTTACATGACATGGTCATGTTAATTAGCACGTGAGAGGATCCACTCCCGTTTTTGTTATACCACGTAAGCTTGTATGAGTTATGGAATGCCTTATTGCTTTTACAGATGTATTGATAACCACATGTACAAAATACAAATAACACAGTTGTCAATCATGTTCCTTAACAACGATAGTTGTGATAATGTTATATATGTGTGGTGTGTGACATGTTGAGAAATGAAATTGCAGGAAATGGGGCATTGAGAAGATGGTGTATAAAGATGTTAAGAAAGGGATTAGGAGAGATCGCAAATATGCTGTGCAACCGCGTAGCTTGTTTGCAACTGGGGTGCACATGTCACAGAATCTAGCAGGAAAGACAACTCACAAAACTGAAGGGAAGATCATGTACTACCATTATCATGGAACCATAGCAGAAAGGAGAGAATCATGTAAAATGCTCATAAATTCAACAGAAATCAACCATGACAAAACCCCCTATGCTTTGGACACAACCATGAGGGACATTGCAGGTGTTATCAAGAAGTTTGAACTCAAGATGATTGGACATAGGCTACAGAAGACACGGCAATGACAGCCTCAAATCTTTAATTTTTTATTTAAAATAAACTATATAATAATTTAACTTTGTGGTAGAATAGAAATTCATTGGGCAGCTTTTTTTTTTTTTTTTTTATTTCGTATATTTATAGATGAGTATATGATCGTGTTTCATTTTTAATAGTTCTTTTGTGTTCTATATTTTTATTTTATTCTTTTCTTTTTTGTATTTTGTATAAAATGATGAATAAAGATGAATGGTTTAATAATGTTGTCGGTGTGGGCCATTAGGGCATCCCCACTTACAGTGATACCATATGGTGGATGGCTGGTATGCTTCCGATGCTTTGCTGGCGTGCATGCATCCTTTTATTATTATCCTATTTCAGATCCTTATTCTTTAATCACTTGTTCAGAAAAGTTTTTTATTTTTTATTTTTTATTTTTTCTGGTATATTAATCTAATTACTTCTTCGGTGAATCTATATTGTAAGTATCTTTTGCAAGCTTCAATTTTTTGAATTGATTATAAGATTAATTTCAAATTGGGTTTAGTTACTCTTAAAAATATGGGGTGTGCATGATAACTATTTTATTCTCTAGTATTGTTTCTGAAAAGAAACAAATTTTTTCTATTTCTATGCTTTGAAACAGTTTCTGAGAAAAAAAAAATGAGTTGGATAACATGTTCTATTTTTATTCCGAGAATGAAAATTGTGTTTGATAACACAACAAATATTATAATAAAAAATAATTCTTATTAAATATAAAAATTTTGGATCATCACTTTCCTTTCCATATGGTGTGGTGGTGGTGGTGGTGGCGGCGGTGGTACTGTAGTGGTGGTGACAAGTGACATGGTGATGATAATGGTGGTGGTTGTGACGGCAGTGGCTACAGTGATGGCGGTGGTAATGGTGGCAGCAGCGGCAGTAGTGGTGGTGGAGGCGACGACAGTGGTTGCGACAGTGGTGGTGGGTGGCATTGGTGGCAGCAACAATGGTAGCGATGGCATGGTGGTGGTGGTGGTGGTGGCTGCGGCAGTGGCAGTGGTGGTAGGTGACAATGGTATGGTGGCGGTGGTGGTAGGTGACAATGGTATGGTGGCGGTGGTGGTGATAACATGGTGATGGTAATTGCGGCGTGGTGACGGTAATGCTTATTCGATGGTGGTGGCGGCAGTAATGATAGTGGCTACGACAATGGTAGTGGTGGTTGGTGACGGTAGTGGTTGCGATGATGATGGTGATGGTTGATGGCGGTGGTGATGGTAATGGTGATAGTGATAGTGGTGGTGAGGCGGTAGTTGTGGTGGTGATGACAGTGGCATGGTGACAGTGATTGGTGGAGGTTATATGTGATGGTGGCACTGACATTGTGGTGGTGGGGGTGGTGACGACGGCACACAGTGGTTGTGTTGGGATGATGGTGGTGGTGGTAGAGATGGAGAGTGATTGAGACTTGAGAGAGATAAATGCTTCTCATTTTGTGCACGGGAACACAAAAACAGAAATTTTTTGATTCTTTTTTCTGTTCCCTAACATAAAAATTAAACCATAAATCAATTTTTTACCAAAGTTTTCTATCCATTTATGTTACGGGAAACAAAAATTTTAAAAAATTTGATTCTGGGACGGTTGTCATGCACACCCATATTTGATAGAAATTAGATTTTTTATTTATTTGTTAATAGTTTAGGGTAAGAGTTTTTTTTTTTTTTTCGTTTTAATCAGAGTAAGATATCAAGTTCAATGAAAATTTATAGATGAATTATCTATTACATATAGAGGGATTCTTAAATTTAGGATACGTTGGACTGTGTTTTTATTCTTTTATTAAAATTGTTTTATAAAATAATTATGAAAATATGTGGTTTTGTGTTTTGAAAGTTAAAAGTCAAAATATAAAATAAAAATAATTTAGATATGTTTTTAAATTTTATTTTAAAAATAAAATAAAAGATTATAATTTTAAAATTTTATTTATAAAATAGATCTTATCAAATGAATTTTTTATATTGTGAAAATCAAAATACTATTTTTAAAAACATTATTAATATCAGGTGCATTATTACGAGCGAGAATTCGATATTCTTCATGAGCGTTTGGTACAAGAGAAATTTTTATTTGTCTGAAAATTTTAATTTTCAAAAGTATAATTTTTACATCCAGTTTATAATTATATCTGAAAATTTAAAATTTTAAAAATTTTAATTTTTCAGAAATCTAGAAAAAATCCGTATAACAAACGGCGACTTTATTTTTTAGTTTACGGACTCTATGCCTTTATATATGTTAGAAAAACCTTTTTATATGAAAGAGGAAAATTCGGCAATGTTTCTTTCAGAACAGGTCATTGATGAAAGGGGTTAGCTTTTTGACAAGTCAAAAAGAACATGTGGATGATTCCGGTGCTCTTTCTTTTGTTTTTATTCTAATACGACGTGATTGAATCATTAGTCCTAACGAATTACCTTTAACAGATAATCATTATGCTTTAAAAATACCATTTTTTTAAGGACAATAAGAATTGTAAGTTATTTTTGTTTTTAGATAAGTTATTTTCGGTGAGTTCAAAATAATGTCGTTTTGAAATGAAAATTAAGGTATTTTTATAATTATAATATATTGTAGGTTATATTAATTTTTATCATTATAATTTTTTAATCTTATAATTCAAAACAACGTTATTTTAAGTTCATTGGAGATAACTTTATTTCCGGTCAGTGGCAGACTTGTGTATGTTTTAGTGTGTGTAAGTGCACACACAATTTTTTTGGAGAAAAAAAAAAAAGAATATATATATATATATATATATATATATAGAGGTAGGATCCTTTGACACCGGTGTCAAATTTCAATTTTGACACCTCATCTGAGAGCCGTTAGATCAAAAAAGATCAATGGTGTCACATGCTTGCAAATCTGAGTCGTTGATCTTTTTTTATCTAACGGCTCTCAGATGAGGTGTCAAAATTAAAATTTGACACCGGTGTCAAAGGATCCTACCTCATATATATATATATATATATATATATATATATATATATATATATATATATATATTGGGTCATCAACAAAAATTACAGGATTTAATTTAATCTCTTAAAAAAAAGTCGACTCGTGATCGTCTTAAAATTCCAAGTAGATCCATGTTAGTCTTTTTGAGGGATTAATGTGAATCTTTTTGAATTTTAGAAGACCATAATTTTGATTATCTGAGTCTATTTTTGAATTCTGAGGAATCACGAGTAGACTTTTTTTTCCCTAAGAGTTAAATTGAGGCCCGTAATTTTTGTTGAGGACCCAAAATGTTCTATTGTAACAGTTTAGTTGACTTTGATTATTTTTTTATATTAAGTTAAAGTTTATATATATATATATATATATTCTTTTGTACTTTAATATATTTAAAATTTTTTTCCTTTATTCTTTTATTTTAAGTGTGCAGTCACCAAAAAAATTTCTAGGTCCGCTATTATTTTCAGTGACCGAAGAAATATTTTTCTCTTTGTTTATATGCTTAAACTATCCATAATACATAATATAATTTTTAAGAGTTTGTAAATAAAAAATTTATAAATATAATTTATTTTTTATATTTATATAAAATCTCATAAAACATGTAAAATTATAAGAGGTATATATAATTTATTTTTATAAATAATAATAATTAAATTAAAAGAAAATAAGTATATCATAAAAAATATAAAGTATAATGTATTTAAAAGAATCTGAAACTTGTTTAATTTTTAAAAATAAAGGAATAAAATTAAATTATTTATAAGAAAGTATATTTAAAAAAAAATTCTATAAATAAATATTTTAACAACACATGAAAATATATACAGATCTCCCGGTTTCAGTTTTTTATTATATTTTTTGGAACTCGATATTTTGTCTGAGATGATGCATCATAAAAAATAATAATAAAAAAAAGAGGGTCTGGAGTTTCTGTAATCTGTTTTTGCAACTTTTTTCAATTTTATATTAATAGTAGCAGTAACTACATCGTATATGTCGACGAGAATGATGTACTGGGGCCATTATTAGTCAAAGTAAGATTTGTGTTGCCTATATTTCAAAGATTCATACGTAATTAAATTCTGCGCCTAAAACGATGAAATTAAGAGAGATGTGCCTGAAAATGAAAACTGAGGAAAGCGTGTGATAGAGTTGTTGGAATCGACACACGATCAAACATACACAATCGCAGACATAAGAGGACTTTTCGAACCTTATAACTTTTTATTAATAATTAATTATTAAATTGATCTTTATTATAAATTATTTCAAAAATTTAACCTCCTCAACAAACATAACACTGATCTGTTCCTGTTTGACCGTTGACCACCAAACTTACCCGGGTACATCCCTCCTTACCCGGGTATTTTTTGAAATTTTATACCTACCCGGGTAGGAAGGGGTGTACCCGGGTAGACTTGGTGGTTAACGGTCAAATAAGGGCAGATCGGTGTTATGTTTGTTGGGAAGGTTAAATTTTTGAAATAGTTTATAATGAGGGTCAATTTGATAATTAATTATTAATAAAAGGTTATAAAGGTCAAAAAGCCGACATAAGAGAGAGAAATGCACATCAGACTCCTTGGGCACAGGTGGAAGGAACCTGAGTTCCTTAACCATTGATCTCGAGTTTGAATTCTAAAAATGATTATTTTTTTTTTGGAAGAACCAACCCCGAAAGGGGATTAGTCCTCGGCTATGACTGGAAAATACTCTTGAGTTTACTAAAAAAGAGAGAGAGAGAGAGAAATGAGGAAAGAATGGGAAGATAGATTTATCTTGATTCATTTAATGAGGGTTATTTTTAATAATATGTATTATATTCTCCTTACCACACTCAATTTATAACGAAAATATAAATAGCATTAAAAATTCTAAGCAACAATAGCTATTTATGAGCTCATCTAAACTACTAAAAAAATAAAAAATAAGTAAGAGACTCACAATAATATCAGATTTCCGTGGTTGGCTTTCGCTAAGTCCCACTGATTTTATCTGTGTCCATTAACAAGAGTCATAATCTGAATACAAATTACAAGGCATACTCAATAAACGTATTAATAAAGAATGTGATGTAAACTCCGGAGAGTGACACAAGTAATAAGTAAGATATGAAAGGACCCAATGAGTGCAGCTCAGTTGGTAACTTGGCGCTGCGTTAGTGGGGTTGGATATGTGTTCGATTCCCGCTGAATGCATTCTTGGGGAGGGGGCTGAACCTTTAGCCATCACTGTTCCCCCGCACTCCGGATTAGTCCCATAGCCGGCTCAAAGAGTCGAAGCTCGTGAGGATACTGGAGAGAGCCAACTCGTCTCAAAGAGATAATTAGGGTTGGGTAACTCCAAAAAAAAGTAAGCTACGAAAGGTTTTTGGTTTAATTCTTAGACGTAGCAGCTTAA